TAGAGAAACATTCATCATTGTTCGTTATCAAATACCCGTGTTTCTCTTTCAAAGGTTCTCCAAACGGCTAAGGAGCAGTTGAAGTGGTCGTTACTGAAATGAAGAAAATATCAAGAAACAAGAATCAGATTTTGGGATTCGTCTCATTGTATTTTCGATCCCTGCATGAGGATGGGTTGCCTCCGATGCATTTTCCTGGCGTGTGTTACGTTTGAATCATTCGGATCTGTGGTACTATTATAAAACCAAGCTTTCGCATTTATTTAGGATTTCACGGAAGATGGAAAGATACTTTATTTGAGTTTCTTGAGGATTTGTTTACTGTCTGGGAAGTTTCGCGTATCATGGGTTTGCGAGAACCTTGGGTGACGCCACTTTTTGGAACGTCAGCGACAGACTTGGCGCATCGTATTTTTCGCTTCCCAATTTCCTCCTCGGCTCCACCTCATCAACAGATTCATGAAACTGTACTATGAGGTATCACACCTCTCTATGCTGACGGGGATAAGTTGGGGGTATTTCTCAATCAATTCCTACATTGATTGAGGATTCATCTTGAGCCGAGCGGACGAACCGTATGAGCAAACTTACTGCTGTTTCTTTTGGTCTTCATCGTCATGAATTTGGGGTTCCGAACAGTCGTTTGCTATAACTTTCGCCTTTGGCGTGACCGATGAGTACCTGAAAACGGTGTTCGGTGATTCTGGCAACGCGAAAGGAAAAACGGTGGTCTACCAGTGGTATTATGATTCAAATGTCATCATTACGAGAGATGAAGAGCACCTCGAACAAAGGAAATCAAAATAGGCCAGCGATATCGAAGGAGGGGAAAATAAACATAGATGTCGTTAGCATCAGGAGAGACGATTTCTGCTCCAGCGAAGAATCATCCCGTCAGATGTTTCCGATGGAATTCGTCCGTATCATCCCAGGGTTCCCGACGATGTCCTTGAACCACGACGCCCCACCTTGCCCCAAGTGACTTCTGTCTTTTTCCGAACCGATAGAAGACGCACGCACTCCATAGTGGGATTAGGCGAGAAGCTGATATTCTAGAATACAGAACTTCCCTGTTGTCAAAACGGACTCTGTACTGTACTGTATATGGAAGAATCGTTGTCAATATATGAAATTATATTCTGTGAAGGGACCAGCTGATGAAGATATCGGGCAAGTTATTCCTTGAAAAATTTAAATTCAAGTAAGAAGAGTGTTCAAAAAATTGATTATCCGGTGATTACTATCCATTTACGACTACTGTAATGAAATCTTGGATTTCAAAACAGTTTTCCTCAAGCTTCAACTAAAATGTAGCAGAACTCGTGCAGCGATTGTTCATGTTATTTGGTAGGGAAAAAAATTAAACAGTCCCTGGATATGATCTCACTACTGTTACAGAACTTTCAACATTAATTCAATCTTTGAATTTGAAGCAGCTTCAGTTGACTATTCATGTTCACGGGGGGGGGGGGGATTACCTCATGTGCAAGGACCAATTCGGTTAAGCTCAGTACAGTACTTGGTTCCTTTTCATGCTCGATGCATTCACGGACATCGGATTCACAGATTTTGGTGAGGAGAATACAGTACAGTATTTCGCAGCCGTATTTTGCGAGTTCATATTGAACGTAGGAGGAACAATGAAGCCCACCTACCATGACGAAGGTTTCATTTTGAATTCTTGCGCACTCATGGCTTTTCGAAGTCAGACTGCCCGAGTTACCATTCCGAAAAAATTCCTTTAGACATCCAACTGTCGGGCAGCTTTTGAACGGAACTGCGAGTTCACGCGATCAACTTTTCGATTCGAAGCTCCCTCCACATACAGATTTCATGAGGCTCTGGTGCACCTCATGCATCTTCCATGAACGAATGCCCCTCTCATTCGACTTCGATCACCTGTCATTCAATTGGCATATAGGCGAAGGATGCGAACACTTCTGTCGCAAGGGCAGCGGAGTCTCCGAAATGGGTTGCGAAGTGACGCATCTTCACTCCGCTCAGTACATTCGTCCAAATTCAACGAGCAACTTCCTTCGTGCAGTAGCTACACAACGTACAGAGGAAATCGGACTTTCTTTCGCAGATTCTGGTCGAAATAATTGTTCCGACATAGGAACGGCAAGTGCAATAAACAGCATGCTAAAAGATACCAAAATTCAAGTAAAACGAACACAACAAGTCTAACACCTAATCCAGCGCTTTTAATGCGTCACGAACGAATTTAAACGGGGATCGAAAGAACTCAGGACCTCCACGGGACCATGGAATACGTACCAACGGGAATAATGGGAATTCGCGCGGAACAGTTCCTCGAATCCAAAAAAGAGACAAAACTCGGACAACGGGAAGTGAAATGAAAAAAGAAAAGAAATGACAGCTTCAGAAATTTCTCTTCGAGTAATTGTCCCGCAGCGTTCTCGAACCATCGTCGTTCTCGGGCCTTGTTCGCTCTTATCCAGCATTCGGTCTCACAAACGCGGTTCGAGTTGAATTCCGGATAAATTCACAAATCAAACCCAGTTTCACGAGGACTTTTTGTTTTAATGCGAAGCACACTGTACGCCACCGCGTCCAGCCTCATGTTCGTCGTCTTCGTCATAGGCATTGGCAGGGGCGTTCCGACCGCGTCTCGGATCCGTTTGAGGATCGTAGTCGTACAAGTTACATTCCTCAAAATCATCCGGAATGATCTCCTCTTTCCTGCGGAACGCGATGAAAATATTTCAAAATCTTGCTGCATTTGTACAACGACTGCAACAAANTGAATTTGGGGTTCCGAACAGTCGTTTGCTATAACTTTCGCCTTTGGCGTGACCGATGAGTACCTGAAAACGGTGTTCGGTGATTCTGGCAACGCGAAAGGAAAAACGGTGGTCTACCAGTGGTATTATGATTCAAATGTCATCATTACGAGAGATGAAGAGCACCTCGAACAAAGGAAATCAAAATAGGCCAGCGATATCGAAGGAGGGGAAAATAAACATAGATGTCGTTAGCATCAGGAGAGACGATTTCTGCTCCAGCGAAGAATCATCCCGTCAGATGTTTCCGATGGAATTCGTCCGTATCATCCCAGGGTTCCCGACGATGTCCTTGAACCACGACGTCCTACCTTGCCCCAAGTGACTTCTGTCTTTTTCCGAACCGATAGAAGACGCACGTACTTCATAGTGGGATTAGGCGAGAAGCTGATATTCTAGAATACAGAACTTCCCTGATGTCAGAACGGACTCCGTACCGTATATGGATCGTCGTCAATATATGAAATTATATTCTGTGGATGGACCAGCTGATGAAGATATCGGGCAAGTTATTTCTTGAAAAATTTAAATTCAAGTAAGAAGAGTGTTCAAAAAATTAATTATCCGGTCATCACTATTCATTTACGACTACTGTAATGAAATCTTGGATTTCAAAACAGTTTTCCTCAAGCTTCAACTAAAATGTAGCAGGTCTCGTGCAGCGATTGTTCAGGTTATTTGGTAGGGAAACAAATTAAACAGTCCCTGGATATGAGCATGGATATGATCTCACTACTGTTACAGAACTTTCAACATTAATTCAATCTATGAATTTGAAGCAGCTTCAGTTGACTATTCATGTTCATGGGGAGGGGGGGGATTACCTCATGTGCAAGGACCAATTCGGTTAAGCTCAGTACAGTACTTGGTTCCTTTTCATGCTCGATGCATTCACGGACATCGGATTCACAGATTTTGGTGAGGAGAATACAGTACAGTATTTCGCAGCCGTATTTTGCGAGTTCATATACTGTACATTGAACGTAGGAGGAACAATGAAGCCCACCTACCATGACGAAGGTTTCATTTTGAATTCTTGCGCACTCATGGCTTTTCGAAGTCAGACTGCCCGAGTTACCATTCCGAAAAAATTCCTTTAGACATCCAACTGTCGGGCAGCTTTTGAACGGAACTGCGAGTTCACGCGATCAACTTTTCGATTCGAAGCTCCCTCCACATACAGATTTCATGAGGCTCTGGTGCACCTCATGCATCTTCTATGAACGGATGCCCCTCTCATTCGACTTCGATCACCTGTCATTCAATTGGCATTTAGGCGAAGGATGCGAACACTTCTGTCGCAAGAGCAGCGGAGTCTCCGAAATGGGTTGCGAAGTGACGCATCTTCACTCCGCTCAGTACATTTGTCCAAATTCAACGAGCAACTTCCTTCGTGCAGTAACTACACAACGTACATAGGAAATCGGACTTTCTTTCGCAGATTCTGGTCGAAATAATTGTTCCGACATGATCTTCGGAAGGAACGGCAAGTGCAATAAACAGCATGCTAAAAGATGCCAAAATTCAAGTAAAACGAACACAACAAGTCTAACACCTAATCCAGCGCTTTTAATGCGTCACGAACGAATTTAAACGGGGATCGAAAGAACTCAGGACCTCCACGGGACCATGGAATACGTACCAACGGGAATAATGGGAATTCGCGCGGAACAGTTCCTCGAATCCAAAAAAGAGACAAAACTCGGACAACGGGAAGTGAAATGAAAAAAGAAAAGAAATGACAGCTTCAGAAATTTCTCTTCGAGTAATTGTCCCGCAGCGTTCTCGAACCATCGTCGTTCTCGGGCCTTGTTCGCTCTTATCCAGCATTCGGTCTCACAAACGCGGTTCGAGTTGAATTCCGGATAAATTCACAAATCAAACCCAGTTTCACGAGGACTTTTTGTTTTAATGCGAAGCACACTGTACGCCACCGCGTCCAGCCTCATGTTCGTCGTCTTCGTCATAGGCATTGGCAGGGGCGTTCCGACCGCGTCTCGGATCCGTTTGAGGATCGTAGTCGTACAAGTTACATTCCTCAAAATCATCCGGAATGATCTCCTCTTTCCTGCGGAACGCGATGAAAATATTTCAAAATCTTGCTGCATTTGTACAACGACTGCAACAAAATATTCAGCATTCATCCTTGACTTAACACAAGTTCCGCATCGAAACTGACGATCCCGCATGAAAAAGCATGTCGACTACATATGTACGTAACTATACTACGCTTCACCCGTCCGCAAATGTTGGCAAATACTGTCCATGTAAAATATGAGAGTAAAGCATTACCAAAAAGCACTGGATCAGCTCTAAACGTCCAGCTGCAAATTGCGGACAGTTTGCCCAGGGACATGACATTTCGAAAGGGAATAGCTGCGTAGCACATAAACTTTTAAACCGAAGGTTCTCAAAACCAATTGTTCTTGAAAGATGCTCAGAGTTTGAATCGAAGGCTTCAAAGTTACATTTCTATTGCTTTTCTATCTCCTGATTCAATTGAATAACCGACAAAACGCCTCCAGAAAACTAAGAAGGGGAAGGACTTCAAGCAAAAAAGGTTTTCAATTCATTTTTTCCAAGGGAAATGGAAAAAATCGATTTATTGAGATTAAACTGCATCAACTTTGTACCCAAGAAATGACAAAATCCCGTCTCATGAAGCAACCGAGCTCGGATCACCATCGCCGAAGAGCTGTAGGTACTGACTTTCAGTCGATGCTTCTGTGATGCTTTTTGATCGATTTTTACAGAATGTGGGAGACGTCTGCCACGAAATTCGAATTTTGACAAACGAAACTGCGTACATGAAGCAGAGGAAATGAAATTGTGAAAATGTACGTTTGAAATGCAGAAGACGTATAGCTGATAACGGGTACACCCAACATTCACTCCAGCCTCAATAAATAATTTCATAGATACTTTTTTCCAGATGAGTGGAGTGGCCTTCTCGTCGAAGGTCTCGTCCATATAATTGTCCTAGTTCAAAGAGCCCTTTAAGTTGCCTTTTAACTTACTAGTTTACTGGAAAGAGCTTACCTAAAGCCAAATGCGGCATTCCTTCTCCGTTGATATATTTACACTCTCCATGCTTGATCACTTCACCTGAGCAGAGGAAGTTTGGCACTGTATTACTCACACAGGAAGTCCTGAATAATAAAAGCAGAAACTTACCGGGAACAGTCTGCATGAGAAGTGTGCGGCTATCCAGCGTTTGAACAGTGCGGCGCAATCCACACAGCGCTTCAACCAAATCAATTTTCATCCTCATAATAAGGTCATCGTTCGAACGTCTGGAAAGGAAGACGAATATTTCGGTGAATTTCAAAAGTCGTGTCTCATCTCGCAGAAAGGCAGAAGACGCATTCTCAAGACCACAGTTGATAGCATCTTACGGGCTTGATCGTTACGGTTATCTTCATAGCAATACTTTACTTCGCTGGTCGAATCTCCTGAATTGGCTCGGCCCATTTCATAGAGCCGAGTTAACCTAGCCTTGCAACAATGAGCGCATAACCAAACGTTAATAATGCAACAGCCTCCCAAAACATATTGGATTATAAAATATAAGGTTATAAACAGCAGGGTTTAATATTGAAACGATGATCCTATCGCATGGAGTACAGTGGGAAACCGATTAACGGACGCTTAAAAAAATGGAGTCTGGATTCGAAAAAATTTTCATTTTATTTTAATTCTGATGTCTCGAATAATTTGAGCTACTCATTCAGATAAATGAAAAATTAATTGTACAAAAAATCACTCTAGTACAAAACAAGCTAATTTTGTGCTCATTTCAGTGTGGTCCAGGTGTGCACAGTACAGCCAGAATTGTTGCTGTTTTGTGCCTCTGAAGCTCCTTCAGATTCCAAAATATATTCTTCGCGTTTGGCACATGTATTTCCTGTGTCGTGAAATAAAATTATTTCCTTTCTGGGGACTTCATTACGAACTTTTTATGAACAGGAGAACCAATTAAATACATTCCTACTGAAGTCCACGGAGAAACGTGATCTGAAATTTGAAATCTCCAACATAGGAACGAAGTCCAAGCACCCACTACATCTCTGACAAGGATCATCTTACAGTATGAGAAGTTTGCCAACAATTTCAAAGCAACTAAGATTCCGAAAGGGAGAAGTAACATGTGCAAATAATCGGAAAAATACTGATTTGACGAGACTATTGAAAGGGAGGAAACTTCGACCAACACTTCATTCACACGATTTTCTGCTCTCCGTCCTACATAGAACTTGCAAGCCAGGGCGATCCAAATGAGGACACATATCTTCAGGAATCTTTACAAATTTCATTCAAAAATTTCACGACACACCCCAGTTGCAATTACTATTTTGAACCATCAAACTCACGTGAAAACTTCGTGCTCCTTCTCATCCAGGACTATCACTATATTTCCGGGCTCCAGTCCAGGTTCCTGATCCCCTTCACCGGCAAATGGGATCTTCTGTCCCGTGCGCATGCCCTTATCAATGTGAACTTCTAAAATCTTCCTCTCACGTACCACCTGCCGCAAAATATCCACATTTACGAAGGATGAATATTGATAAAACTGATTTAGATCAACCTTCCGTCCTTGGCACTTTTTGCATCTGTCTTTGGGATTAATGCGTTCTCCACTGCCTTCGCATTCTTGGCATACGCTCTGGATTTGCTGGATCATTCCAGGTGCAAGCTGCTGGACGCGAACCTGCATTCCCGATCCACGACAATTCTGACAAGTTTCGACTGCTCCCTTCTTGCCTCCACGTCCTGAAGATATCCCACAAAATTCCATTATTTCTCAGCATTTCAGCTTGCATCACTTCGGTGCTTGCAAAGCTGTCTTACTAACGTGTCTCAGCAATGCAGAAATGACAACAATTATCGATTCACCCTAACTCAATGTTCACTCATTCTGAAGCATAGAAGTCACAGTACCTTCACACTTATCGCAAATGACGTTCTTCGCTAGAGAGAGTTTTCGAACCGCTCCATTGTACAACTCCTCCAATGGGACACTTAATTGGTGCACTACATCCTTGCCTCTGCAGAACCAAGGTTTTAGGAAAATGCCGGCATAAATTACTAAGTGTACTGTACTCACTTCTTTGGTCCCCCTCTACGACCACCACCAGGACCTCTGAATGGGCCCCCACCGAAGAACATATCGAATATGTCGAATGGTGATGAAAACGCTCCGCCGCGATCTGCAAATCCTTCTCTAATAGCTGATTCCCCTCCTTCATCGTAGATCCGACGTTTTTCTGGGTCTGACAGTACCTCGTAAGCTTGAGAGATCAACTTGAACTGCAAGAATGGTCATGCCGAATTAGACGTACGTCACTAAATAAATTCTACTCAGCATACCTTTTCCGGTTCAGCGGGGTTCTTGTCGGGGTGGTATTTCAGCGCAGCTTTGCGATACGCCTTCTTCAGCTCATCAGGAGTGCACGATGGAGGAACGCCAAGAATCTCGTAGAATCCGGTCTCCTTCACCATCGCAATCTCAGTAACAGGTTATGGGATCGATTTTCACAAAAATCACGTGCGCAAAACGCCTTCACTAGGATGAAAATGAACAATGAAGCTGGGCTTCAAGAATGCTCACAGGCAAAAAATTTTACGATTCAATTTTGAGAATCATTTCCCGATTGAAATAGGCTCCCACTTTCGCCAGATTTCACCCGTCGAAAAACAGGGGCTGACGGCAGTTTTATCATCAATAGTGTATCGTACCGCGTTCAACCTTCCAAACGACCAACTTTTAGTGCGCGAACTCCATAACTAACGATGGACGAGTCACTGCAGGTCGAATAACCTTCGCGAATCTTCTGGAACATTCCACCATCAACCTTCCTGTCCAAACGAGACAGAGAGACGGCCTGAGCTATATCGTGGCTGTACTGATGTTCGGGTTGTCCGGGAGAAAATTGAGAGAAAAGGGGAGTCCAAAATTACTGGGAATGATCAACTACAGTTGATCCTCTCTAAGTCAAATTTCAAGAGACCACAAAAAATTCGACTCAAACAGGTTTTTAATAATTGAAGTTTGAGTAACAGAACCAAGAATTGTTGTCATAGTCAACATAGAAGAATTGCACAAAATTGTTGATGATATTTTGGGCATTAAATACATCTGAAATGAGTGGACAGGATGCTCAACTTGGAGGCAGGGACTAAATTTGCACAATTTTGTCTTTCCTCTCCTTTCAAATCCTATGAAATTATGTTTTTATCGCATCTTCTTTTCCTTTGTCAAGAAAAAATAGCCAGAAGGCCTCCGAAAAATCTGGTTAGGGAGGATTGAGAGGAAAAAGTTTCAAGTTAGGGAGGTTTTTAATAATGTACGTTGTTCCTAGGGGAATTCAATGGGAACTTTAAACAATTTTTGACTGAGGAAGGTTTGAGTTATGAGGCTCAACTGTATTTTCTGGTACTCTGCGTCAGGAATTCGCGCATCAAAAGGGTCAGATTTGGAATGTTGGATCACGCAGATTTAATTTTGAGAAGAGTAGGCCTAAAAAAGGGTTAATGAATATTGGGTGGAAACGGAGCATTTTCGGATTTTCAATTTAACTTTCTTTAAAACGCTCTCAGAACTATTGAGCGTTTGTGTTATTTTTTCGCACAAGTTATCAACTGAAATGTACCAGTGCCACGCTGTGGAAACTTTCTTTCAGGAGAACCAGGACCAATAACGGCCTGAAAACGACTTCAACGATCCAACAAATAAAATACTCATGGGGACGTACCCTTTGTCGGGTGATCCTAGAATGTTTCTTTTTCGATTACCTCACTACCCACAATTCAATGCTGTAACGTAACTAAGTCTTGGAACTGTTGAGTTAGTCATCAGATTTGCATCATGTTTCCATCATTTACAGGCACGGATGGAACCTCAAATTTGTATTGAAACTGAAGTACTGTATTCCACGATTATCCCCCTAGTTTAGAACAGAATCCTGGAACGAAAGCCTGTTCCTGAATGTCATTAAATTGGCCATGAATACTTTCGCTCAAGCGTAGGAAACAGTACAGGATCCACCAGGATTTCGGTCAGTACCTTATGAAGTATGAATGTAACCTAAGGTTACTGTAGCTGTGTCAGGTTGTATCATGCCACTTTTCCGTCTTCCTGATTTTCTGTTCTTTCAGAAGACGGCGTAGTCGTCATGAGGGTTCCACTTCATACTGTCACACCTCGGACCTACTGATGAGTGTGCACACTGCCCTGCGTCTCGCGGAATTCGGATGAAGAACAAGGAAAACTGAAGACTTACTGAGATGATCCAAGTGTTAAAATTTTTATTTCACTTTCCTCTGAGCTAATTTCCATTCCAAAGCCCCCCTGTAAGCCCTCCCCGATTGCACAACGATTCCAAAGGACGTTCTCACTGGTATCAGTTGGATCCTCCTTGCTCAACACTGGCACGCAACAAAAAAAGTTCAACAAGCAAATCCAGCTATGTAGGAAATTTACGAAAGAACCCATGAACAAACCGCATTTCGGCATTAGTGCCGGGATCACGTCGACTAATTTCACTTTCAACTCTGGGATATGACCGCATGTGTTGAATCGCACTCAGGATGTTCATTAAAAATTTGACTAACAACCCACAATAACCAATGCTCAATCAAATCGTCGCTAGTCTATGTCCAAGGGTACAAAATACACTAAAATTTCCGAAACAATAAACGAGACTGGTGGTCGCATGTCGGACGCAGGAAAAATGCAACAATTTTCATTCTCCGTTGAAAATTGGAAGACCTCGAATGAAGGCAACAAGTGTGTCATGCGTCGTGAAGCTGATGCCCACTGTAATCGGTCCTTTGATCCAGTTCATACTAAGTCCTTTGTACCAGCCGCCCTTGAGACCTTCTTCCCTAAAATTGGAATAAAATCATAATCCAGAGCAAATACGTAACGAAACAGGCCGGATAAGGAAACTCCATTACAGACCTTGACGAGCATTCCCACATTACCCTTGCCCTCAGCGCCACGAAGAACCAGATTAAACTTATAGACAAGAAATAGAAGGGCAAACCAGCGCCTAATATTAGGCTATTTTACATCAACTGTTACGACAAACAACAGAACTTCAGAAAATGCCGTTGCCATGCTGGCTTCAGATTACGGAGAACGTGATACAGTACCATGGTCAAGAACTCACCGACACACTTCTGGATGTGTCATGGATGGTACAGTTTTACTCATGCGAGATTAGTTTCTCCACAACCTAATCAGTTATTTCTTGTTAGAACTAGTAGCATTTACTCAATTTGACGCGTAATATCTTTACGGGTTGTGAAGGATTGCGTTCTTCACAAGCCAAAAAGATGCATTAGGAGGCAATCTAACAACACTTTTTACGACAAAACAAGAGCATCCGACAAATTCTGTTCTGGACTTGCCTGTAAACCTTCAGGAGGGTGCCTAGAACACTTCTGTATTCGATTTTCATGATATCTGCTGTTTGCATCCGTCGTCGAACGATGTCTAAAGGATAGGACGCACTTTGCCCCATGAGTCCCGCAATAGCACCGAACATCAACTTCTCCATTGCGCTCGGCTTCGTTTGCTCTCGCCCTGAAGCATTCAGAAAAGGGGGGAGATCATGGAAGTGGCCAAGAGGATATAATCGAAGACTGTGCTTCTCAAAACCGGAGTTATCTTTCAAACGCTACAACAATCCGTTCAACGAATTCTCGGAAATCTTCTGGCAATACGCATGTGTCATCTCTGCGCTAAATCTCAGTTTTAAATTATCCTAATGTTCACTCAAACTAAAAACTCCACAGTAATAAGCCATCGCTTCAAATGCGTCAAATTCAGAAAATTTCTGCGCGGCGACGTTTTGTCAGGGTTCTCGGAATGTTCGAACAAGTCCGGGTTAAACATGCATGATTCGGCAAGTATTCCGAGTAGGCCATTCGACCATAAACCCAACAACTAAGACATAGTCCCGGGAATATTACTCACGTGTATGCCATTGCTTCAGGGTCTCGAAAGTGTAGAACGAGACGCCGGCATACGGAATCACTCCCAACATGGCCGGTAGATAGCCCCTGTAAAGTGACCGGAAGCCATTTTCTTTCACTGTACTCCGAAGCACCTGAAAATTATGAAAACCTCACTCAAGATGACAAGGAACGAAAACCATTTTTCAATCACTAACAGCGAGCAACGTGCCGTGCTTCTCGGCACTTGTCACAGCCATCCGAGCTTTGGTAACATCCAGTGGATAAACTACAGTTTGACCCGTAACACCAGCCAATGAACCCGCGGCGAACCTTCTCCATTCGCCTTCCCTGAAGAAAAGAAAAATATAAATGATTTCCGATGGTAATCGAGTGAATTCGTATTTCTTCAATTGAAGTCCAGGAATATTCATTCTTCCGCGAGGGTTCACATTAGAAAAGCCCGGCTCACAAGAATATGTGTTGGAAGAGCAAATGCACAGAAGAAACGGTTCATCTAGGAAGAAGAGCAAAAGGAGGGAACATGAAAGAATCAAGTTCCAAAACTTAAGCGCATTGAAAATTGATCACCACTGAACCTGATCAAACGCTTGATCACACTTTCCGACACGGCTTCGTGATTGCTCTTTCGGCACTTACTCGTTCGTGATATGGTCTGATCTTTCAGAAGTTACCAAAAAAATAAGCAACGTACTTGTGGCTCGGAGTGTCGACGTGCAAGAGATGCTTCCACTGTTCGTGGGATGCGAACTGCACGGCGGCATAAGGCACGATGCGAAGCAGCGTGGCCGAATTGCCTCGCCATAACGCCAGGAAACCTTCGTTTCGGTAGGTTCGCAATATAAACTCTAAAGCTTTCGCGGCGCTAAAATTCTTCACCGGGGAAACCTGGAAATTTATCTTTGTTCTGTCAAGCGGCGCAATCGCGGTTTTCGCCAAGCCACCCGCCGCAGCACCAGCTGCCAAGCTCGTCAGGATCTGATGCCGTCTCGAAATCTGCATGCGTATACCGAACATGTAATCAATTATGAGCAACTATCTAAAACGTTATTTACACGCTCATAGACCAACAAAGATAATCACAATACAGTCCAGTTCAAAATTTTGAACACGTCCTCACAACTTAATCTTACAGCCAAAAGAAGACCTGGGAGTGCGACCAAAAAGGATTACCTCAAGATGCCGCAGTATTTAACGCATCTCTCCGATTTTCAGACTAAGCCCTCTGCCTTGATGACGCAATTTATTTTCCAGGACACCAGCCGAAAGTTACACGGTCTCAATCGAAGACGAACAAATACACAGTCGAACCTCCAAATGAAACGTCGACGGACCAAGGAAAAATTCGAGTTAAGGGGTTTCAAGTTAGGGAAACGAGCATTTGTGTCAGGGGAACGGAAGAAGAATTACAGGAAATTTTAATCGGTGAAATTTTGAGCCTTGAATTGCTTCTTAAATGAGGTGACACGATGCTCAACTTAGAGGCAAGGGCTCATTCACCCAATTAATCTTTCACTTCCTTTCACACTTTTTCTTGTAGTTGTTGAGATGATGCCAGGATTCTCCCCACTTCTTTGTTTCTTTCACGTTGTCTTTCATAGACCCTACTTTAATTCTTAAGCAGCCTTTCTTACATCCCGCTAAATTTAACGTTTTCATTGGTCTAGCAACTCTTTAGCTCATCCTGTACACTTATGTATTTCATGGCTCACCGGTTTCGAGTCTGTTGGTCGATCCGACGGGTGGTGGTCGTCTAAATCATTGGCCTTTCCGGCCAGGAGGAGAGGTGGTGTGAGAGCGGCCGCAGAAATATTGTCGGTTTTGGAATAAGTTTCCTCACTATGGTTCGCCTCTCGGGCATTCAGAATAACGACCATTCTTTTACCGTTCCATCGTACGCCCACCTCTCCGAGAAAGCGCGGTTGCCGAACACCAAGCGCTTCTCAAGAGTCTAAACAAGGCATAAATCGCCGGAAGATCTCAGACATAAATCTTGAGAAATTCAAGAATTTCACGCATTCATCATTTCCACAGTATTGATAACCTGCAAGTATTTTGGGATATCTGAGAATATGTTCTCTGTTACCGCACTCAACAGCAAGTTCAACTTCAGACGAACAGTCCTTCGAAAGTCAGAAATATTGGCGAATAAAAATGAATCGCGTTAATATACAAAGATCATTCCAATGCAGCAATATTAATGCCATTAATATCGATGAACAATCGAATCCTCACAATGGTCAAGAAAATACTAAAGCATGTACAGAGTTTCCCTTCGATCAAATGGATCCGAAACACGTACTCAATAATCTGACTTCCTCCAAACCGATAATCTGATATTGAATCAACGTCTGCGTCAAACTAAAACTCATGAATTCCAACGTCCACTTAAATCCCTGTAATTAATGCCTTGGTCTCCCAGAAACGGGAGACCTAAGATTTTTACGGGATGAGCGGAGAACACTTCCCCGGAATCAATGGGAGACCAACCCGGGCACCATGTCTTTCCCGTTCATCTACGAAAATTTCGCACTACCGAAAACAAAAAAACAGGAACAGACTTCTTTTCAACAAGCGAGGGCGTGACAGTGAGATGCGACGTCAGAAAAAGCACGCAACTTGTTCACCCCAATCCACAGCTTAATTTTATCCCAAATCAAATCATTCATTGACCCGGCAACGACAGGAGAGTTTGCTGGCCCTGAGGGAGATACATAATGTTGCGAGACTTTGCCAGTTGGTAAGAAATATCTTCCGCGGCTTCGATTCGGCGCAGCTCGACCAAGCCTTCTCCTGCTTCTCCAAAGGCTTTCGCCAAAAGCTTCGCAGCTTGAGAGTCACCCTCAGCAGAAATAATTGAAGCCTTTTTCTGTTGCTCAGCTTTCTCCACCATGAAACGAGCTCGCTCTGCTTCCTGCTGCGCGACTTGCTTCATTTCTACTGCCAAAGTAAATTCTTTCCCAAAAGTCAAGTGCGTGAGAGATATGTCGTCGCAGATGATTCCGAAGTTGCCCGCACGTTCCCTCAAGTCTTCTGATATCTACAATGAGAAAATTTCAATGTCCATTCAATTAAGAAAGCCAGGACGATTTAGCTGAAGTACTGTATGAACAGAGGACTAGCAACTTTAGAAACACTTCAATTTGAATCTCAATAAATGCGCCGCATGTCATTTGGCGCGATTAACTCCAGATTAGCGATTTGGTTACTTAAGACTTGCTGTCACAAGATGGTTCACTTGAGAAACTCGAGCGTATACAATGCAAACACTTGCGACCGAATTGAAATCGAAATCAAATATTCACCCCAGCGCTCACAATGAAGTTCCTTCAATATTGGACAGCTTGAGTTTTTTCATCATTTTTCAACATGCGTATTTTCTTTATAAATCATCTCGTAATTCTCAACTGATATGTAAAAACGATTTTTTCGGAACGAAAAAAAAAAGGCCGTTTTATTCAAATTCTACATACATTCGGAGGTTCGGAAATTCAGCATAGAATCTTTCAGAACGACGGTCATTCGCGTGTTCACAGATTTTCGCGAAAATTTGTGTTATTTCGCTTACGTTTTCCATCTCAATCTTCAAACAATGGTAGTGTACTCATCAATGAAACCAACCTTTGAAGAGACGACTTCACGTTGGGTGATGAGTTCTCCAGCATCGTATTGCGCAGTAACAGCTTTTAGAATTTCATTCGTGATGGACGGCAGCACTCGTTCGTCATAGTCCAAACCGAGCGTTGTGTAAATGTAAGGAAGCTTCTGGGGCACAGGCCGGAAGAGGATCCTCAGAGTTATGTTCACGTTCTGCAAATCTTTGCTTCCGGTCACAACGGGCACATTGCGGGGTCGAGAACGGCAATCGAAAATAATTGGCTTTTGGACCCATGGGATGAAGAAATGGGTTCCCTCGCCTATCACTTCCTGCTTTACACCCATGAATCTGTCGAAAATAATTGCACGATGCCCTGCGTCCACATTGTATAGCGCGGAATTGACCACTCCTCCCACAGCTGCGATTCCAAGACCGACTTGGCCCAAACGAGAGAACGCTTGACTAGCCATTTAAGCTTCAGAACAATGGCAACACAGAGAACTCGATTAAAACAACGCGAGAATAATTTCCTCTGGAAAAAAAACCGCCGAAAGAAGTAAATTAAAAAAGGGACACACGGACATCCATGAACACGATTTCCCGGAAGAGAAAAGCTTTATTCAGTGTCCATTTCGTCCTCGTCCTCATCCTCACTGGTCACATCAGGATCGTCTTTCTCTCTTATGCATCTTGAACAGTGACATACAAAACCATAGTCATCCCTGGCGGAAGGAAAAAAGACCACTTAGCACCTTTTACAAAGTAACCTAAGAATACGCAGACTTACTTCATGACCTTTTGTCTTGAATGACGACTTCGTGCAAGCAAACATTCGTCTAGATAGGAAATGCATATTTCATCTCCTTGTCGTATATCAGAGAGGGTCACAACGGTGAGCGTATGACAACCCAGCTGAAATCTGACTTCTGCATTTGGCTCGCACGAATGATTAATGCGGCTGTGAATTTCGTAGAGACCGGATCCTTCCACGTTGATGAACTCCAGCCCAGTTTCTGAACGAAAAAATAATCAAATACTCATGGCACTGGTTACTTCCTCCTTCTTTCAGGCTGTTGTCCCGTTATCCCTTTTCTAATATAAAGTATTTATTATACAAAAAACCCTAATTTTTGCCAGTACGACTTGAATACAGCGCTTCAATACAGAGATCCCAAAACCAACCAAATATGAATAAAATCTCAACTTATCAGAACTTGACGACACAAAAGTTTTCAGCGATGCCGCTGGAGCACGGATCCCTTGCCTTATTTGAGTTCCCCAGTAGCGAATGACATATGAATACGTTATATTGAAACTTGATTATGAATTTACAGTACAGTATGGCGAAGCGCTCAACGGGTGCAGGAGTCTATAGGGAAATACAAGCATTCCATAGAGAGAAAAAAAAGAAGAGAGTTCCTTACTGTCACTCATATCGGCGTAGACAGCGTCTATGATTTGATCAAGATTTTTAGAATCTTGACTGGAGGGATCTTCCAGTGGTTTCAGCTTTTCTACTTCACGTACATAATCAGCCCACGGACTAGTTCCGATACCTTGTCCGTTTCTCGCGATCAAAGCTAATAAAGATGTAAATCCTTCTTTCGTAAAAATCTGCTGAACAATAAAGGAATATTAGAGAAAAATCAGGAGTAATGGTATTGATATTTGAACCGACTTCTTTCAAATCTTCTCCTTCATAGGCTTGCGAGAACAAAGAGAACAAAACGTTGATACGATCTTTGAACTCAGTTCCCAAAAGCTTGAGCGCCAAATCATTGGAAGCCTCTCCACGAATATCGCTGCACATAGCTTGAAAAGGTTCTAGACCTTTGTCCAAGCTTTCACAACATCTTACACGAGCAACCAAACGAGACAACAATTCGATTGTCGTGGTTTCCGGAGGGTAGTGCATCGATCTGTGAACAATTTTCTAGGAGTCTGAGGACACTCGACACTCATCGAACAATCAACTCACTTCCAGGCTTCTAAAAGAAGGGCACTTGGGTGCACATAATCTCCGAATGCATCTCCTCTACATAGAAGACGATGATACAAGTTCCAAGCAATTTGACGGCAAGCATCAGAGCAGTACAGGACCTGTCACAAAGCACGAGTGAGTGTATAATCATGATTCAGAAAACAGAGAACATGCGTTACTTACATCGCACGAGTTTGAACAAGGCACTTTGGAGCAACAAAACTTATCTTGCACCTCAGAAAAAGGAAGGATGTGAGAATTTGTCTTCGTAAGTCTCGCAACATTCTCGGCAACTGTTTCCAGTGACCGCAGGCAATGATCACATGCGGGATAATTGCAGGATTTATTCCAGGCGAATTGTGAGCTCACAAGAGGAGATTCCACAAGCACGGTTTCTTCCGCTTTCAATGACCTTGCAGCTACCATTCCACGTCCCTACAAGTATACGGAATTTATAAAATTCGATGCATGGAAATTGTATCTATCTGAACATTACCTTCTCCGAGCTGATATTGACGATGCTAAAGCTAGGCGCATCACCAGTTGACCGCGGATCGTAAGCGCAGGCCATGGTCGGATATTAGATTGCCTGTCGGAGAATATAAAATCAAGACATTACTAGATCTCAATGCTCATGACCTCCGAAAGGCTCCACGCGTACCTCAGCTCACCGCACATTGGTACCGGTATCACGTACAACTAATGCGACAAAATTCCATCAAATTTACGACTGAATTATCACTTGCTCTCTTTTTTCATAATTCGAGTGAACAAGGTCATTGGTCTCAAAGAAAGACATGAACAGTACAATCTGTAAAAACGAATTCTCCTCTAGTGCAATAGGAGGAACTCTACTAGATCTTGAAGAAAAGTGAGGCGGACCGTTACGTGCGTAGGTCTGTGAGTTGAAAGAAACTTATGGTTAAGCTTGTTGCTTGTCACTGCTAAAGCGATTGACTCCGAAATTCGCCGTCGCTTAGCGGAGGGAAACGACCTCGAACCACAATTGTCTTTACTGGACGATCTTCTGTTGAATTTCATCAGAGTGAGCTAGCTAACATAGGTGCATGAATTAATTATTTTACATTGTATTTGCTGAAGTTAAATTATTAAAAGAAGCAAAAAATCGATCAAGAATGTCATAAACCTTCATATTGACTCTGAAATTATGCATACGTTTATCTACGGAGACACAATTACGTTTTGAAACGTACGACATCTACGCCACTGTTCAAGAGCTGTACGATTATATGGCTTGTCCTTCATGACGCATGCTCATCTGCCGAATTCCATTTCCAGGGGCGCGAACAATTCCTTGCAGAATATGCAAAACTGCGGAGTTCGTGTGCCAGAAACACTGTATTTTGACAGCAAGCAGTTCGCTGAGTACCTCAATAAGCCCGCGTATCTTGTCCGTAACACGGCTGATTCTCTTCTCGTGGTTCAGGTGCTTCGTTCAGGATACTAAAAAATTACTAGTGGTAATGTGGATATATTCCACGGAAAACTGAACAGTAAGCTGCTGCTGCACAATAAGTTTCAACCTATGAGCTTCTCCAGTTTTCTCTTACGTTCCGCGCCCGTGAGTTTTGAAATAGCGTGTAAATGAACTCTCTATCTGACTCCAATCGATACCTATTGCATGAAGCATAACCATGCAGGGGTCACAATAAGCCGAATTTACTCATCCAGAGAGATTTGCGTTTCACCCTGTACAATTTACCGCAGGTATGAAACTTTGCAAGGACCTGCAAATATGATACTGCTAGAGAAAATTATGTGTAGTGACTACAGTCAATCCTAGCTTAACATTTTTAGTTGGTGCAGCAGAAAAAAACGTTAAGCAAGGTAGTCTCTCCCTTAAGATATGAGGGAGAAATGTTTAGTTGGTGTTGGGCAATATCTTTTCAATATCTTTTAATAAAAAAAAACAGGAACATTTACAGAACTTCCAGGTGCATTCAAGGTGCAAAATTTTTAAAATTAGGCCCATAACAAAATTTCTTATGCAATTTGAAAATGAAAAATTGTGGCTCAATTTTCAAAACATTTTTGTGCTTTTGATTATATCTGTCAATTCTGAATATTTTTTGTGATTTAAAAAAATGAAATGTTAAAAACTTTGACATGCATCTAACCCTGTTTCAAGTTTGATGTTTGGTGCCATAGAACTGTTTTTATAAATTTTCAAACTTCGAAAAGTGGGACAAAAAATTTACAAATTCAACTTTAACTCACAATAATTTCTTCAAAATCCGCTCCATTTCAAAATTTTTAACAGGGCTAAAAGCACATTGAAGTTTTACAAATTTTGCAATTTTAACTTGGGAAAAAGGTTAAAAAATTAATCATTTAAAAATAAAAATGTAAAAAGATTTTTTCCCGATTTTGGTTCAACTTTCAGAAACATTTTGTGTTTTTCATGATAACTCCATCAATTCTTAATATTTTTCAAAGTTAAAAAAAAGAAAGTGTGGGGAACTTCATTGCGCAGCTTATCTCATTTGAAAATTGAAGTTTGGTTGAGAAATAAACTTTTGACAAATTTTTAAATGGAACATTGTGAGGAATTCTATACCTTAAGTGAACAGATTTTTGGGCTTACAACTGCTGGGAACGTTAAGTGAAAAAATGTTAACCAAATGGAACGTTGTGCAAGGGTTGATGAGTAGGCAAGTTTTATCAATAAGTGGGGAAATTGGTGCATATTTGGGCTATATGTGATGCAATCACAATGGAAACTCTGTGCCAAATGTACACAATTGGCAGTATTTGAGTGTAACTAATGTAACCCTGGAATGGTAGCAGAATTGTATTTACACCTGATACACCATAGTGCACACTCATTTTAACCACAGAGAACGCATCCCATGTGCATGATCAGATTCAGTTGTGAACCTAGCAATGCTGTGTACCAGTTGTGGCCCCAGCAGTGTACACCAGTTGTGGCCCAACAGTGTACACCAGTTATGACTCCAGTGCTGTGGGCCAGTTGCATGATTACAGGAAGAATAGATATCCACCTTGGTTCTATACTTTGGTGTCCCTGTAAAATCACCTCATTGAGGTATTTTCCTGAATAGATCATGAGTGTAACTTTACAGTAGGGCCCCAAAATACAGAAGCCCTGACATAGAACAATTTGACTTAGGGACACTTATGAAACTCAAAAATCTACTAAAGCACTTATTTTATTTTTAAGCTTTATTTTTAGTTCAGCATATCTCAAGACAGTGTCTTAAGATATGCTGGACACCACCAAAATTTATATTGACAGTTGGGACATTTTTTTGAAGTTTGAAAAAATTATTAATAAAATGTCATTGTGTGGATTTGGGTTGCTGGGTGGGAAGGGGGGTTTGGTTGTGGAAATCTTGAAAGACATTTTTGCTTAAGAGGAGATCACGTTATCCTCCTTGAGATGATCTAGAACTTCTTTTCACTCCGCCTGGCAATGCACGCATCCAGACACTCAACTTTCTTTGAATACCAATTCGAACAACGAAATCACTGCTAAAGCGATTGACTCCGAAATTCGCCGTCGCTTAGCGGAGGGAAACAACCTCGAACCACACTTGTCTTTGCTGGACGATCTTCTGTTGAATTTCATCAGAGTGAGCTAGCTAACATAGGTGCATGAATTAATTTTTTTACATTGTATTTGCAGAAGTTAACTTACGAAAAGAAGCAAAAATCGATCAAGAATATCATAAACCTTCATATTGACTCTGAAATTATTCATTCGTTTATCTACGAAGACACAATTACGTTTTGGAACGTGCGACATCTACGCCACTGTTCAAGAGCTGTCCGATTATATGGCTTGTCCTTCATGACGCATGCTCATCTGCCGAATTCCATTTCCAGGGGCGCGAACAATTCCTTGCAGAATATGCAAAACTGCGGAGTTCGTGTGCCAGAAACATTGTATTTTGACAGCAAGCCGTTCGCTGAGTACCTCAAAAAGCCCGCGTATCTTGTCCGTAACACGGCTGATTCTCTTCTCGTGGTTCAGGTGCTTCGTTCAGGATACTGAAAAATTACTAGCGGTAATGAGGATATATTCCACGGAAAACTGAACAGTAAGCTGCTGCTGCACAATAAGTTTCAACCTATGAAAGCTTCTCCAGTTTTCTCTTACGTTCCGCGCCCGTGAGTTTTGAAATAGCGTGTAAATGAACTCTCTATCTGACTCCGAACTATACATATTGTATAGAGCTTAACCATGCAGGGGTCACAGTGAGCTGAATTTACTCATCCAGAGAGAGTTGTGTTTCACCGTGTACAATTTAACGCAGGTATGAAACTTTGCAAGGACCTGCAAATATGGTACTGCTAAAGAAACTTATGTGTAGTGACTACTGAGTAGGCAAGTTTTCTCAATAAGTGGGGAAATTGGTGCATACTTGGGCTACATGTGATGCAATCACAATGGAAACTCTGTGCCAAATGTAAACAATTTGCAGTATTTGAGTGTAACTAATGTAACCCTGGAATGGTAGCAGAATTGTATTTACACCATAGTGCACACTCATTTTAACCCCAGAGAATGCATCCGGTGTGCATCAGATTCAGTTGTGAACTTAGCAGTGCTGTGTACCAGTTGTGGCCCCAGCAGTGTGCACCAGTTGTGACTCCAGTGCTGTGGGTCAGTTGCATGATTACAGGAATAATAGCTATCCACCTTGGTTCGATACTTTGGTGTCCCTGTAAAATCACCTTATTGAGGTATTTTACTGAATAGATCATGAGTGTACATTACAGTGGGGCCCCAACATGCAGAAGCCCTGACATAGAACAATTTGACTTAGGGACACTTATGAAACTCAAAAATCTACTAAAGCATCCTGACAGTGTCTTGAGATATGCTGGACACTACCAAAATTTATATTGACAGTTGAGACATTTTTTTTCAAAGTTTGATAGCTCAAACAAATTGAGCATTTTATGTTCACAAAAATTAAAAAAATATTTTATTACATATTCAATGTATAATTCATAACAGGATGATTTCATGCTTTTTTTTCAGAATAATTTTCATAATATATGCATAGTTCAGGAAAGACTTGTGCTTGTCCTTTGCTCTTTGGATTCCTTTCATGCCAAACCAGCAGATTTTGTGTGATTTTTTCTGCTGTGTCATTTTCTGTATCTTGCAGCATAGAAAAATTGTTTATTCAATTTTGAGAGAACTTTTTCTCAATCTTTGATCAACTGGGAAGCCAAATAAATATATTCCCATCGATGAAATCTAAATGGAAATGTGATCCAAACTTGTTGCAGCCATTCTGACATAAATAGGGGGACAATAAATAGGTCCACAGCGGCAGTTATGTCCGCATCTCGGGGCCCCACTGTGTTTCAGTTTTCTTAGCTCAGAGCTATAAAGACATTGTGGAATATGTTCTGAATTGTATGCAGGAATTCCATAGTGTTTTGTCACCATGACCACGAATGGTGGCACCGCGACGCGGACAACCACGCCCACAGTGCATCCTGGTTCACACATACCCAATGGTGTCAACCGCATTGTGCGCAAAAAAATTGACAATCGCCCACCGAAATGTTTCAAAGAGCGTAAGAACAATGCTCCGGCTAAACGGGCGGGAAAATTTCCTGTGTCGAACTCTGATCAGGTGAAATTCAATAACTTTAATGTTTTCAGTCCACGCCTTTATTTTCGCATATTTGCTGCAATCTTTAAAATGAGCAAGTCCTTGCAGGGCAAAATAATTTTAATATTCCGGCATTACGAGTCATGCATGAATCAAAGACGCTGTAAAATACGGTATGTCCGGTTTCTGTCAGCAGTCCATTTTTCATTTGTATGTATAGTACAGCACATGCATATCAATCAAAATTAAGCCAAAATTTGCATGATCATTTTATTTTCCAAACCATATATCCGCATATTCCGCATATTTTAAACTCTGCATCAATAAACCCAATTTCTTCCCCATGTGTAATAAAATTTTCCCCGGATTTCCCTTTTTATAGGAAATCAATTACTGTAATTGGTTCCAGAACGGAATAAGTAAGGTGAAATGAGATAAACAGAAAGCACAAGGCGACGAAGTACAAACCAAAAAAACAGCAGCAGCTGAATTAGAAGTCAAGGAGGAATTCAATTTAACCCATAATTTAAATTCCCAGTACATTGCCAACTCAGAGTACACTTCCACTAAAAATCTAATTTTTAAAATTGTTAACCCAAAAGATTCTTTAATTTTATCCCATTTATCCATTGAATTCAGGTTGGCTCCTATTTATGCAGTCAAGTTGGCTGAAATCTAATCATCTCCCTAAATCAAATGCCTGCCTAAGTCAAATTAAATTCAAGTCCCAATCTGAATTTCCTTAGAAACAAAGCATTACAAACTTCTCTGTCAAAGAATTTTCCTCTCAAACCTCCATAACTCAAATTTTCTGAGGCCTTTTGGCTATTATTTTCTTGACACATGCAGGAAAGAGGAGAGCAATAAGAAGTAACTTTATGTGTTTTTGAAGGAAAAGTGAAAGACTAAGTGGGCAAATGGACCCATGCCTCCAAGTTCAGCATGCTAGCTACTAATTTTAAAAATGTATTCAACCATTGTGCAGCAAAGACAGGATATTTTTGAGAAATTTTGTTGCTACAGTATTAGCAAAAAAAAATCAAAACAATTTGATTTTTTCACCAAGGCCTTAGTCAGAAAAAAGTCCAACATTATTTTATAATATTGTAGAAAAATTTGCCTTAAAACAAATTCCTCACTTGGTGGCTTTTTTCAGAAATTCCTTGCATAGGATTGGCATTATTGATTTTGAAGTACAAAAGGATTCACCCTTCCTGGATTTGTCCTGACTTAGGCCTTGGGAAAACTCAACGCATTTCACTGACATTTTGTCAAACTGAAATGCGCTGCTCCTCAAAAAAAATCCTGAATTTGCTGCAGGACAGCCAGGAACCCTCTGCCATCCAAGGGTTAAGGCCCAGAATATCATCATTTACAATTCCCAGCAGCAATCCATCCATGTTTCCCAAAGCAAAAATGCTTGTTTCCCTAATTCAAAACCTTCTTATGTCATTTTTTTTGCTGGTCCCTCAAAATTTGACTTGAAGAGGTTTGACTGTACAGTACTATGATCATTATTGTAATATGTACTGTATATTATTTTTGCTTTAAAAAAAAAACAGGCAGAAGAATCCACAGATAATGACAACAGCCCTTCAGGCAGTCCAGTGGAAACCGCGTCAGTGGTGAGCTCATCAACGGAGACAATCCCTATCACTACCAGCACAAATAACAACAACAACAACAACAGCAAGAAAACACTATCATCTCTGCCTCTAACCAAGTCCAAACAAACCATGACCTCGACTTCCCACGTCCGCTCATCAGCCACGCAGACAGTGGAACAACTGGCGCACACAGTGTCACGCGGCACTGCGACTTGTTTCCGCACAGGATCGCGGCACTTCGGATGCCAAACCGAAGACAACGGCTTGTTTCGATCCTTGCAATCGCTGAGTCTGCATCAGAGTGACGCGCGGTTATTTCCGGCAGATATCCGGGGTTCGTCGTCGTCCAATAACGGGAAAAGCAGCACTAATTCTTTGTTTTCGAGGTACGGTCGGGGCTCTTCGCCGAACCTGGCGCCCATCAGGTCCACTTCTGTGGATTCTGCGTCTGGTATGAGCATGATGACAGCCAATGGCATTATTGGGAAATCTAATAGAAACGATCGCCATCACTCCATCTCACACCGAACTGTTAGTCCACCAAATAATCACGGCAGCTCGTCATCGTCTAAGAACTTTGTTCAAGCCAACAAGAAAATTTCGAGGAATAATAAGTAGCCAGCAAAAACAAATAAAACGAGATTAATGACAAACATGTCATGCACTCATTGAATTGTATGAAGGACATCACATACACATTCCAAAAATGGATTATTATATGATCTCAGAAGGTTTTCTGAATGGAAGATATGCGTGGAAAAGTCATCATAGGCGTTGCTACAATAATGCAGTGTTGAAAACTTCACCAACGAAAATGTAAAGTTAATCCCCATACGATTCCCTTAAAAGTCCAATGGAATTTGAACTTCCCTTATTCCAATATTAATTCACGATTCAAAATTGTATTCATAAGTTTTCAAAACATTTTACTCATGAATTTGGGGCTAGGATTCAGGATCATATCTGAGAATATAGTGGTGCACAACAATTGAGGATACTTACACTGTGTAAATAAAATGTAAAGAAATACTCTGCTGTGAGATTACCTTAGGAACAAAAGTGGCAGTGTCCAGTTTTTGATGGACCACTTTTAAAATTTCAGAAAAATTAAAGAACAGCAATATATTTTCTTTTACAAAAAAGGTATATGCCATCATTATGAATCTTTCTATTCTTATAAATTTTACAATAATAAATCTTATCCAAAGTATATATCATTATATTACACACATACTGCAGTTAATTGAGGAAGTATATTTTTTCCAAATCATCAGTTCAACTTGTCAGATCTTATAACTTGCTGTCTGAATATTTCTCTGACATGCCTAAAATAATTGGTAGATCTAAAGATAATTATTTAAAAAATATTTAAATGGCTTGTTGCTGCATTTATACAAGTAAAATCCTCGCTTTTTGAAAATGTGTCAGAAAGGTATAGGAAGCAGATGCATAGTATTTAAGAGTAAGTATTGAAAAAATCATGAAACCGGTGGTGGGAGTCATAAGTGAATCCTTGTGGAGTATAAGTGGAAATAAGTAACACAAAATTATGCTTGGCACATATTCTGTAGCAATATACAGTATATGATTAATACTTGGTTATTCAATTACAATATTATTTTAAGAGAAATTATTACATGAAAAAATCAATATTCACCCTGAAAGCTGGTTTTGTGTAACAGGATAGGTTTTTTGGACAAATTCTTATACAGAAAAAACTGGGTAGTACATTGTGTGTTTTTATTCAGGGTACTTCATACTAGGGTGAAATCGGTGAATAGAGTAAATAACGGTAACATGTTGGGTGAGGAGGTATTAGAAGTCTCCTATATATACTAATATAAATCAGCACTGTCACCATAAAGATTTAGAGAAGCAAAAGAAAAAAGAATATAGATGATAAACGACGGGTATGGGGAGGGGATGATGTTGGCGCGGGGTGCGCGGGCGTCGGGTGGACGCTGCAATAGACGGGTGGCCCGACACCCAAGGGAGATGGAAAACGACACATTGGGAGTCGGGGCCGACGCATAACGCTGGCGCGCCGGCAGCACGCTGGCAAGTAGCCACGCAACTCCGAAATTTTTTGCTGGGTACATTGTGTGTTTTTATTCAGGGTACTTCATACTAGGGTGAATAGAGTAAATAACGGTAACATGTTGGGTGAGGAGGTATTAGAAGTCTCCTATATATACTAATATAAATCAGCACTGTCACCATAAAGATTTAGAGAAGCAAAAGAAAAAAGAATATAGATGTTTGACAGTACAGTATTTTATCTTGGCAGTTGTCTTCCAAGTTTTAATCTCAGCTTCTCAAAAGCAATACAGGTACTTGTATATATACTCATTCCTATATACGTATAGAAGTAATCAGTTATTTAATTTTTTTTGTATGTGACAGCTTTGGGTCTGGGAGATAACTTATGTACTGTACTCATATTTGGAAGACTGGAGGCCAAAACGTTTGCAAGCTTCTGCAGTACAAAATGAGTTTAAGTATAAATGGCAGGATTCAGAAATTGCGGGTATTTTCGAAGAGTGCGATTTTCCCTGGCCTCTTTTTCGAGTGTTGGAATAAGAGTCTCAACTTCATTATATTTCGACATGACTTACTTCATTGACATTCGTTTGCATGCGGAAAAACGGGAAAATGGAGTTGTTTTTTCACTCGTTTATTCGCAGGCAAAATTGGAAGACACGATTCCCGATTGGACATAGAAAAGGACGAGGAGGTTTATGAAATTTTTATGAGCTTTTCCATTGCAAACGGAAACCAAGGGTCGCCTGGGAGTTCTTCGGTATATCGACCCCTCCTTTCATTCCCCAGTGACCTCATATATATAGTCTGTCCTATTCATATAGAAACAAGGGGTCTCTCAAGGGTCCTCCCGCAAGTCACCAACAATCCTTTCCCTGTTTCAAACTGATGAGCTGTTTGTGGTACATATTTTCCAAATTTATAAAATTTGCAGTGTATCATGATCAGAACAGATAAAACTGAAATGGGATCAGAAACAATTTGAAAGGCCTCTACAATGTTAAAATATCTCTTAGACTACTTAGACTTCTTAGAGAATCAAGATGAGGTGTCCGTCTGAGGAAACACTCCAGTTCAGTAAAATAATTTTTGACATGCATATTAATGTTTCTTTTTTCCTACTTGTGTAAATCTACCGCCAGGAATAAGTGAATGTTGTTCTATCAAACTGCAAAACACAAGTTCACTTGGGTTAAGGATATAGAGGAGGGTCCATTTGCATTTCTGTGCATGCAAAGCTTTTTTTGTGCTCTTCAATTGCACCAATGCAATTGCAAGTAAAATAAATAAATCAAATCATGGTTTCTCAACCAAAAGCTGTTTGGTGGAAAGCAAAATTATAAGATAACTGAAATATCTTTGAACAGAAAAATGTAAAACCCAAAAATCTTCAGAATCAGCAAAACTTTTCTCATTCAAAAATGTTTTCCACCAAAAATTTTTTCCATCAAAAGAGACTTCAAAATATAAAGATTTGCTAAAGTTTTCTTAAATAAGATTTTTTTGGTTTGTTGCAAAAAATGATGCAACAGTTTGATATCCAAAAATTATGCTTAATTAGAAAACAATTCAAAGTTTGTTGACAAAAATTACAAATTGAACAAAAAATTGTACAAAAATTTATTCACCCAAAAAAATTTACAAAAGTTTGATGACCAAAAAATGTTACAAAAATTTTCAACCAAAACATTTGTCAAGTACAAAAAGGCGCAACCAAAAGTTTTTTTTTTAATAAAAAGATGTCTTTGACCAAGAAGTTTCTTACCCAAAATGCTTGACAATCTTATAGTTTTTGAATATAAAAATGTCCAAATACAGTAATTTGTTAACCAGTAAAAGTTGATTTCAAGTGTCCTACCAAAAAAGTGTGTCAATTTTTTGAAAATAAACGTGTGTTAACCAAACAAATTTGTTAATCAACAAGTCAATTTGTTTGTTTGTTCACAATAACAAATGTTTGATGGTTTGGTAACCAAAAAAATCATAAAATAATTATTAAAAAAAGCTAAAGCTTCTCATCTCAAGGGATTGAATGTCAGAAATTCAATCTGATAGCAGTATATTTCGATTTTTATTCGGCGAACCCCGAAACTTTCAAGAACCCCCAAAGCAGCGCAACTGGCGTAAAATGCCCGCGTTGGCGACGATGACGACTTCTATACTGTGCGTGTGTATAGAGCGAGTTTGTATGTCGACGCGGTGCGAAATTCCCCGTTGCCCAGCAGGTACAGCTGCTGGCGCGTGCTGTGCTTGTTGTCGGAAATGTGGAGCACACGCGAGGGAAATTTATGACGATCCGATATCATTAGTTTTCGTGATCAATCATGCTTCCAACCAGAGCAGCGAAAAATGGATCGTAATTTCTGAAATATGGACTGGAATCGACCCGGATTATTATTTCTTGCCGGGTATATATTCAGTATTGTTCGGTATTGATTTCGAGCGCGGGAATGCACGCGTCCTGAGCTTTTTTGACAGGAATAAATGAAAAATTCCCCAACTTTTGCAATAAGATACAGCAATTAGTTCACATTTAAAAATAATAATTCGTTATACACTTCAGATTCCTGCGAGAAGAATAAACGGTTATACAGTATTCCACTCCCGAATTCCCAACTCGAAGAACTTTTGGGAACTTGGAAAAATTAGAATTCTGCACGAAATGGTTTGCATCGAATATCTCTGAGAAACTAACTTTAAAATGCTTTCTGTAATACTGTAAAGAGCTTTTCGAATCACCCATATGTTAAAATGATTTTCTCCCCTTCAATATGCAATCTGTTTGTATAAGTTGCAATTTTTAGTTCTTAATTTAATATACGCTCGTTGGTCGTTCAAAAAAGACAATTTAACAACAGCCTTAGAACTTTTTTGTTTCACTTATTGTTTTAATGATGTGATTCGTGTACATAACGTGATGAAATATGCATTCATAAAATAGGTTAAGAAAAGTGCACATGCAGAACTATCAATAACTTTACATTTTGTGCGTTATTTTTCATGTTGATGAGACGAATATGGTGACAGTACTATCAGGTACTGTATTCTGTATAATCCCATATATATAAATCGTAACGGTTTCTTTTCGCACCTGAATCGCATATACGGCACAAGCACGGAAGCATTGATGCAAGCGGGCCCTGTTTACTCCTAGAGCACTGCGATCATGGCTCCCACCATCCAGATCCCAAAAAAGCGGTGGTCGCGGTGTTGGCTGCGCGAAATCGAGGTCGGAACGTGATTTTAAATTGTGTGTGTTCTTTTAATTTCCCTTGAATTTTGTGCAAATTGGATGAGGTCGTTTCCGGATTTGTGCTTAGGTGTTGTGTGGTGTGGGTGTTACAGTGGTTGAAGAGACCTAGGATTTGTCGTGACGTGTAAACTAGCGCCGATGTTTCATGGTGACAAATTTATTTGTTGGTGAGTTGACCGCTCTATATTTGGGCTTGATTTGCGAATAAATAGCTTGGTAGATTTTTGAGTGAAAGTACACTTTCATGGGGACAGCGTTGTCGTTCAGAGTAATCGGTGGAATCGCCGCTGTATCCAATGCCTGGACCTACCTGTGTTCTTTTCTAGGAACGCATCTGCTGTCAGCAGGACCTTGCTGCGTTATCCTGAAAGAAATTCCTTAAATGAGATGGAGCGTTGAATGCATCCCGTGGGGTTTTCTTCGACGAACTGTCGTGCGACGGGGCAGTTCTTTAGATCGCTGTGATCTTGTCAAAGCTGTGCGGGCACAAGGTGGATTCGATTTGTTGTCATTCAAAACATGGAATTGAAAGTTTGGGTTGAAGGAATCCAACGTGTTGTGTGTGGGGTAACCGAGAAAACCACATGTCAAGTGAGTTCTACGCGTACTTCTGTAGTGCTGAGTGTATTTACAATTATTTGTACTATAGGACGTTGTATATGCGCTCGCACATGCGACTGGACGAACTGGTCGCTTCACATTGATTGAGAGGTGGCGAAACAATGAGAGGCTTCTCGCACCGTTGGATCATCCTCTGCGTGTGCTTACTAAATGGGGAGAACACTCAAACGATGTTCATTTCATCCTTCAGCGAACGCCGCTCGAAGGTCTCAATTTGGCTCAGCAACCAGGAAACCAAGCTCAGTCTGCCATCATTCATCCGACCGTTCGACAAACCCCGAATGTAGCCCATTCGCCTAATTCTGCAGGGAACAAAATGCTTCCCAATTCACACACTTTTCCCCCTCCGTTGTATCGTGATCCACCGAGGATGCCTCCGCCTTATCGAGATCCGCCTCCTGTTGATCCTGAGGTTCATTCTTTCAGTAGCAACGACCAGGACCCAAATCTGCGGAATCAGTTCCATGGGGTGAAATCTCCCACCCCGACGCATCGTCTGAATATGATTAAGGTGAGCCTTTGCATGTCCAAAAGTGGAAGAGAAAAGTCCTTGAGCCTCCGTCGAGGCAATCTGGACTGCTTGAGTCGTAGAATTTTTTTCTGATATCTAGATCAATTTTGGTTCCCTATGCTAATGTCGTTCATATTCGGAGCTGCGCCTTGAGGTTTTATTTATTTTTCCAGTTACTATGTTTAGAATCTCACGATACCGTTTTTAATCCTCTGTTGGCCGAACCAAGTTTTTGACCGCTTTTACGAGGCGAAAAGTGTGAAGGACGACGCAAAATTTGCACAATAGCATAAAGAAAGAAGAATTAATTACGGGAAATGGTAACTGGTGATATTCTGGGCCTTGAATTGCCTCTTAATTGAATTTACAGGACCACGCTGAACGTTCAGGCAAGGGAATACCGTATTTTCCCAATTAGTCTTTCCCTTCATTTCAAAACACATAAAGTTATTTTTGTATTTCTTTTATCTTTCCTGTGTCAACAAAATAGTAGCCTTTAAGGCATCCAGAAAATTCGAGTTATGGGGGTTTGAGGTTCCTTTTTATATTTTAGAGGAAGTTCAATCAGATTTCATAAGCGCAAGCGTAAGCTTCGTTCTCTTGGCGAACAATTGGATTTGCTCTTGGAGGATGTCGTGACCTATGGCTCTGCGTACGATACCCGCTATTTTGAAACATGACGGAATTTTTCTCAAGTGGTTTCATTTCCGTTTCTTTTCCATTGGATTGTGTATTCAAGACCGTATATGTTTATTTACTGTACAGTTTATTTTGTTTTGGTTTCATCAGTTGATGCGTTCATTTTCCTTTCTTGCATGGTTGAATGTGGCTGTTGGATGTGTAGAAATACAAGTCACAGCAGCAGAGCAACTCGCCATCCTCTGCAGCCTCGGGTGCGCACCATTCTCCGCGTTCCTACTGTCCTCCGCCAGATGTGGTCAGTCATGGGCCACCGCCGGCTCCGCATCAACTAGCATTACGAAATCTTCAGGAGCTTGTAGATAATCAAAGAGCGCGCATTTTGGCTCAGCATGCAGAATTGGCGAAGGTATTATTCGTCGGGGCGAAATACTATACTGTATCTGATCCAATGATGGGCATTCGTAACGTCCATCTTTTTGTTGTTTCGTCGATTCCATATGAAATTGGGTCAATTTCGTTTTCCTTATTCATTTTTTTTTTTACCATTTATTTGTGAATTAGCTGGACTCGGAAGCGAAGGAGGCAGAAGAAGTCATTCAAGAAGTCAATCGGCTGGAGAATATCCTGGATGCTTGCCAAAATGAGGTACGTTGCGTAAGGTGTATTTCCCGTGAACGAGTTTCTTTGTTGAAATTTGACTAATGTTTCCCAGTGTACGTGTCTTCGTGGGGTGTTCGTATTTTTTTTATTGTGTGCATTGGCTGCTGTGAAGTTTTGAGCTTCGAAAAGTGGTTTCTGTCGCTCGATTTGTGAAGTGCATTACTCCGGAGTTCAGATCGTTGAGAGTATAGTACTTCAGTGCGTCGGTTAATGGACGGAATCAGTTTCATTCGAAAGTTTATTATCCGAAACCTCTTTTCAACCCTGCAAAGCTAAGTTTACTGGCCGGTGTGTTCCAGATCCTCTCAAAGTGCCATAACAGAAAATTTGTAGCGAAAAAGGAATGACCAATTTGTTCCAGGTCTCTGAAGTACTTATTTTAAAATTCTTAAGCAAATCAGTGAAAAGTAATATGGAAGCTTGACGTCAGCAGAAACGCTCGAAAGACTAAGGGAACGACGAACGACGCGACCAAAATATCAGTAGAGCTTTCATTCTAATGAAAAATTATGCTGGTTCGCTGATATCCGATTTTCAATGTCGACTTTCCTGTGAGGACGATCACTTCTCTAGTCTATCACCTGAAGCATGATCCAATATCCGATGCCCAAATCAGTGACAGCTGGAGTCCATTCACGATTTTGCGAAGGAATCCATTAATGTTTATGAATAATTTATTATCGAGGGTACAGCTGTAAAAATAATTTTGTTTTGTTTTCAAGGTGCAAGAATTGCGTGTAGTGGAGGATGACGCTCAGCAGATGCAACGTCAAGAAAAAGATTTGGAACATAGGCTTTCTCAGCTTCGTTCTCAGTTGATGACCTGTGAGAAAGAGCTGACGAGTGGCAGAGGAAAAATTCAATCGCTGTCGGAAGTGTTGGCCGTGGAACGACGTCAAGTGGACATCGAAGAACAAAGCAGCGACGAGGACCGTCGCATTCGACGAACTGGGAAAAAGAAAACCGGTGAAGCTGGAGCGGAAATCGAAGGCATGTTGCAAGAAATTGACAGGCAAAAGGCTGCTAGTGAAGAACTACGACAAACTGCTGATCGACTCGAAGAAAAGATCCAAGAAATTGAAAAGGCTTTGAGCGAGAAAAGAAAAATCGCGTCGGATCTCGCGCAGGAAATGCGTGAGTTGAATCTGGAAAGTTTAATGGTCATGCCGATACCTGTCGTATCTCCGGATGCTGCTCGAAGTTCGAATGAAGGTTAGTGAATTTCCCTTTGTGAGCGAATTTTTTCTTAGAAGTACTGTATAGTAAAATCTCGTTACAACGAAGCCATGTGGACCAGTCAAATATTCTTTGTGTAAAGAAAAACATGCTATGAAGGAACTCATCTAACATCGTGGCTATCCGACATGGACCAAAAAGGACTTCGTTTTACAGTAATTTATTATTCGAGATTCTTTTGTGAAACGAGATTCCACTGTATTTCGAATGCTGCATAATTTCTTTTCGAGTTGAATTTAGATATTTTGACAACGCAGGTATGCGAAATATGATTATTTATTGGGTTAAGAGTATGAGTATGAGTGAAAATTTCGTCGAATAATTTTTACGTAGCTGAATTTCACTATTAGTTGGACTCAATGCGGATTCGTCATTGGTTTTCTTCGCGAAAATCCTAAATCAATACCTGTATTCTCCTGTATAAATGTATACCGTACTACGGTGTCGTGACATGATTTGAAGTTGACGCTGATGACCATTTGTTTTTATAGGATTGTCATCGAAAAGGAAGATCGTTGGTTCCCCGAGACAGCTGGAAACTGCAGCACCGACACCGAAGAATCCACAGGGTGTTTGGGTGTGACAATCGTGGTTGAAACTTGCGTACTTTTGTTTTCGCGTGAGTACGTATAAGCTTGAACATGTGATGGCGGATCCGTTTCTCAATCCGACCTGCATTTACGTATGTACCCAAACCCAGTGTTTGATGTTACAAGGGATCGTGGTTTGTTTTGCACCTTTTCCACTCGCTATCGACAAATTTTGAAGATTCAGACTCCGTTCGAAGGAGTTATGCGATGATTACGTCACACTTAGGTTGCTTGAAATACTTCATCGTTATAGTAATTGGTCTGCACATGCTGGGTCGTGATTCGAGAGAGGTTTTTGGTTGAACATTTGTAGAAAAGTTACATTTTACCAAACACTGAAGTGATCCGTCCCCTTGCGAAAAAAAGAAACGGATGTTGTTTTGATCTAGTTAATCGAAGCGTTGCTTCACTCCGTGCCAAGCGTTTTTTTTTTGTTTGTTTGTTGGTTTTGTTTTTGCTAGGAGGGATTCGAAAAATGTTGAGCGAGGGAAAATTCTCGAGCTCCAATTGCTGTTTTTCCGAGCCTTTTTTTAGCATATTTATGTTATCGCACTTCCCTGTAGTCGAGTTGTGAAGTGGTTTCGTATCCGAAAGGAAAAAATTTCCGTCCAGACTGAGGTGAATTGGTGCAAAAGGTAGGATGATGTTTTCTTTTGCTACGTTTGCTGAATTTTCTTTGAGCCATTTTTTATGCAATGCTTTGAATCCGCTAAAGAGCCAACTTTTTGTTTCTCATGCAGCAGTGGTTCGAAAAAGTTGTTTAATGTTGAGGTTTTTCGGTCGTTCATATGCTTGAACGTCTTTTCTGCCCCGTGGTTGAAGTTGGGCACGATTGCGCATGTGTTCTGAGGCATTATTATCTTTCTGGAAAGCAAAAAACCAGGTTTTTCCCCCCTTTCTAGTTGCAAGCTTAGTTCAAGGAAGTAAAATCCTGCTGAAGAGTCTTGCCGGTATGTAATCTGTGGCAACGGTGATCTGATGGATTTGTCACTGAACTATTTTGAATCCTGCGTGGTTCTTGACCAAGTAGTTGAATGAAATGTCCATGTGTGTTTGAAAATTACGATTGTTCGATTCTTTCATCTCCTGATGGAATACTTTTTTTCCTGTTTTTGACGTGGGAGTGAGTTGGAACAGGTTATGTTGGAGTGAGTACTGCATGGAATCGATTCAGGCCTCTTTAGGTATGTTTTTTATTTATTCTTCAAGCTGTAAGTTGTTGAAGCTCTTCCGTCGTATGCAAAAGCATATTTTGTTTTTACTCGCAGTTTCCTGTCCTGAAACAGGATCTGTGTTGTGTTCCAGGGCCACGAAGATACTGCCGTCTGTTCGGGTCGTGCCCCTTAATCACATACAGTACAGTATTCGATTCAACGTTCGTGCTTCAAGTGTGCCTTCGTGCGTGCACGTGAAGTCGTGATTCTCAGATTTTCTTTCCAGTGTCTGCATCCCCATACGGTGTGTGTCTCCCGGGATTTGAAGCCGGTTCGGCGAATGAACAACGCAGTTCTGTGAATTAGTTCGTGGTATTTTCTGCATTGTGACGCAATTCAAGATGAGTTCGAAAGGTAAAATCGGCATCATGGGAAGGTAAGTTGGGCATATTTTTCCATCATTGCTGATGAGTCTCGGAATTTGGCACGCCTGATTAGATGGGCATCCGTTTTTTAGTTTAGGCAGAAGCCGCCTGACTTTCTCTTGAGTGCATAATTTTAAAAGAAGGACACTTGCGGTGAATAAAAAAGGCGCAAAAGTTTAAAGAAAGAAGCGTGGAAAAAATTCAAAAAAGTATTCAACTCGATGACATATTTCTTGTCATTCCGTGGAAATTGACTTGAACTTTTAAGTGGATTACGGGATCAGACTTGACAATCTTCGTAAAGACCTTTCCGGGGACTGGGAATTTTCACTACGTACTGCTGTAACTTACTTTTTTACATTTTTTTGTGCAGTGGTCTTATTGGTCGAAGTTGGGCGATGTTGTTCGCCAGTGTTGGGTATCCTGTTCAGTTGTTCGACGTGAGCGACGAGCAGCTCAAGAAAGCTCTTGAAGACATTGCGAATCAAATGAAAAGCTTGGAAGCTGATGGAACCCTAAGAGGTTCACTGTCAGCCGAACGCCAGCTCAGTTTGATATCAAGTGAGACTCAATCTTTTTTCATGGTGGTGCAAGAGTTCTCCTGTTTCGTAATTCCTTTGACCGTATCAAGTCCGTGATTGTTATACAGTCGAACCTCTTTAATTTCGAACTTCAGGAAGTTCAGGGAAGTGTCGAGTTAAGGAAACAAGCATTTTTTTGTTGGAAAAATAAGAATCACAGAAAATTATAATCGGGGATATTTTGGGCCTTCAATTGATTCTTGAATGAGTTGACAGGATGCTGAATTTGGAGGCAAGGCTCCATTTGCCAAATTAGTCCTTCACCTTTTTTTTTTTTTTTGGAGTTACATTTTTGTTGCTGTTCTCTTTCCTGTTTCAGTAAAATAAAGTTATAGCCAAAAAAAGCTTCGGAAAATTTTGATATATGGAAGTTTGAGGAAATTCTTCTAGTTGTGAAAAATGTTAATGCATTGTTTCTTAGGGGAATTCAGACAGGGGCTTGAAAACAATTCAACGTACGGAGGCATTTGAAAGAAAGAGGTTCGACTCTATTACAAACATAATTTCAGGGATTTGTTAAATTGTCACAAATTTCTCTATATCGGAAAAGTCATCTTGATTCTAAATAATGGTGGGTTGTAAAGCAACACGATAATTTTCTAGCGCGGAAAAATTTATTTTCACCGTTCGAATTCAGGTCAGAACAAATCTATAGTTTTTCAAATTCCTTCGGCCTTCACACGAGTATCTCGATGATAGTATGGCGGGAAGCCTTCGAGTTGAGGAATGCATGGTTTAATCGCACAATTTAATGCCTTGTTTCTAAAGGAAATTCAGACGGTGACTTGGAACAAATTTGCCCTAATGAGGCTCGCGTTATCAAGGTTCAACTGTAATTTTTTTTTCTTTGCGTTGACAATCGTGTGAGTGATCACGCGTGTCTTGTGTGCATCGATCCAACAGCGTCTAAATCGCTGGAAGAAACCGTGAGCGACGCTTGGTACGTTCAAGAATGCGTTCCGGAATCGTTGGACGTGAAGAAGGAAGCTTTCAAGAAACTGGACGATGTGGTGGAATCTCTGGGAATTGGGAACAAGGTTATACTTGCTAGTTCCTCCAGTACAATCGCTTCGTCGCTCTTCTCTGAAGGCTTGAAGCACAAGGCGCGGGTTTTGATAGCTCATCCGGTAAGTACTGAGACGTTTTATTTTTTTTCGAGTTCATGGTTCCACCGAATAGCAATTTTTATTTTTTCCTTCTTGTTGGGTGCATTTATGCGCGCCATTTCCTGATCATGCTCAGTCATTAATCTTCCGGGAAATTGTTCGAGTTGCCTCTTGGGCTACGATTTTTCTGGGTTTGTTTCTTCGCGCCGGGATCAGGAACCAGTAAACATGTAATCATGCTTGAAAAATGATGACAAATTTATTGCGCCGTAAAGTGGAAATTGTTCATTACGAAAACGCTCAGTTCGTGCATTTCGAAGACTTCATTGTGCGGTTAAACGTCGATAACTCGAACCTTCCTATGTCATTTTTTTTTCAAGTACCTGTCAGAATTCCCTCAGAAACAGTACTTCAAAAACCTCTTCAACTCAAAGGTTTTTTTTTTTCAAACCTCCATAACTAAAATTCAACTCACAACTCAAATGTTCTGAGGCCATTTTATTCTTGACACTGGAAAAAGCAGAGTAATCGAAAAGTTGCTTGTTTTTTTTTAAGGAAGTGAGAGACTGATTTGGCAAAATAACCCCTGCTTCCATTTCAGCATCCTGTCAACTCATTTAATAAGCAATTCAAGGCCTAGAATATCACCAATTACAATTTTCTGTAACTTTTCTTATTTCCCTCGATGCAAATGCTTGCTTCCTTTGCGCAAAACTTCCCTAACTCAATTTTTCTTCTGGTTCCTTGAATTTTGACTTGAAAAGGTTCACGTGTATCTTTCAATCCCGTATAATTGATTCTGTGAGAAATATCCAGAAAATTTTAGTGGACACATTCTTGGATATGAGACCCTTTTTAAACGCGGGAATTTCATCACGCTCTCAGGTGAATCCGCCGTATTATGTGCCGTTGGTCGAAATTGTTCCTACTTCGTGGACTGATGCCGAGGTCATTTCGGGCACGAAGAACTTGATGCTGGAAATTGGCCAGGCTCCTGTTGTTTTGAGGAAGGAAGTCATGGGGTTCGCGCTGAATCGCATCCAGTGCGTAACTCTTTTTTTTTCGTTTAACGATGTAAATCGAAATTTCTGTTCATTTACTGTCACGATTAACTTTATTTATTTGACAGGTACGCTATTCTGAACGAATGCTGGAGGCTCGTCTCGGATGGGATCTTGGATGTGAAAGAAGTCGATGTCGTGATGTCCGAAGGACTTGGTATGCGGTATGCCTTTCTGGGTCCCTTGGAAACGGCGCATCTGAACGCCCAAGGTCGGTGCATTGCACGCATTTGCATTTCATAAAAATAAATAAAACACACGGAATAATTTTATTACACTCACCCGGGTTCTTCTTTGAGCTTGCCAGGCTCCTGTTGTTTTGAGGAAGGAAGTCATGGGGTTTAGTTCGGTATTCGATTAGGTTAGGTTTGAGTGGTCCGGGTCCACGCATATTGAAACTATTCAGTTCCTATGGGAGCGATTTCATTATGCCGAACTTGCGTAATACTAAACGCGATTTCCCGTAACGATTCATTGCAATCAATTTGCTTTGCATATTCACCAATAGACCGTAATAACCCTTCGAAACGGTGTATTTTTACTACTTATCAGAATAAAATCGTGAATTAAAAAAATTTTTATGGAGTAGTTCATTATTAAATTTCAGTAATCCTCGAAAGTTTGTGTCGAATTATCACTAATTTTATAGACAAGGAGAAGCAAAGCGATGCCCTTTTTTCATTTTCCTCAATTCTTTTTTTTTATTCTGAAGTTTCAGTCCCAAAATGTTTGCTAATTAATCTGTTTTTTGATGAAAAAAAATTCGATATTTGAAGCACTTTTGTTCGCGAATTCATTTTTTCCATTTGAACATTTTTTTCTTTTGTACTTTTCGTTATGCGGGGACTCACCGTGCTCTTTAAGTATTTTTAGTTTTGAGATTATTGAAAAGTCGTACAGTCGGTTGTCGTTACAACGGATCCCGTTTTAACGAATCAATGCTTACAGCGAGTTTGTCTTTACGGTCCCTGTCTAATAGCCTTAATGTTCTTTTAATTTTTTTAAAAGAATTTTCGTTCACAACGAAGCTTTTTCTTCCGAGTGCCGGACGCTTCGTTATAACGAGATTCTAATGTATAAGGTTCTCCAAGTTATGGTCTTGAATTGGGCGTTAGTTTCGAACTTTCGGTTTAATGTTGGGTCATTTTGATATTTTCATGGATTATTTAGGTTAGATAGGTTATCGTTGAAATGCTATGATTTTGAGTGAATGTTGAATGAAGTGGCGGAGTTGCGAATATTGCAGCTGCGGTGCATTGAAGAATATTGACGAGGGTATCAAAATGAATCAAATTACTGTCGCACATTCTGTCGGGATCCCTGAAAATCTTCCGTGCGTTACGTTGACGATGTTTCATCAATTCCGTAGGAATGGCGGAATACATTGACAAGTACGCCGCTGGAATTTACAAAACTTCCAACGATTTTGGCCCCATTCCCAACATGGCAACCAGCGAAGCCAAGGACCAGATCATCTCGCAATTAGAAGCCATGGTTCCGACGAAAGACTTGGACCAAAGAAGGCGTTTCAGGGATAGAGCTTTGCGTGCCTTGTCCAAAATAAAGAATGAACTCGCGTCTGAATAATTATAACGACTCGTACACTTCTTGAGGGTATCGAAACCGACTTGAAGTTCTGCTGGGATTTCATAGATTGCCAACTTGCTTAAAAATAACCTTATGCGTCGCTAGGCGATTTCGTGCGAAAATTTGATGTGATTATGAATATTAATTTACAGTCTGGGTCTTGAGAGAAAAGTCAGTGAATTTCGTTTTTGAAGAACCTTCGTGCGTGAATTTGCTGCGTAAAAAATGGAAGGTCGATTTCTCCTCACGGAGTAAGCTTAAAAATTTATTGAAGTTCATTGCCCTTTGGATTCGTGTTTTGTGTCCTTTTCGTGTGTATAGAAACGACACGGAGTCATGACACGAAACGGAGTCCCTGCTGTGTTACCGGTTCAGTGGGGGAATCGCATGACCGGGGTTATTCAACTCGGTGGATTCCTTGGAAAAAGGTCATGAATTATCGAGGTCGTGATGTCGGGAATCGGTTTCTTTTCTTCCCAATTTTTACGCTGCAAGGAAATAGAAAATTCCGAATTTACGGGAAAATAACGCGCCATATTCTCTGGCCTACACCTGCAGTTTTCAAGCCTTGAATTTGAAAGAAGTTTGCTTCTAAACAAAATCATGAATCCGAGATCATTCGTTGCCCATTATGCGAATAAGAACTCTTGTAGAAAGTATTAAATTTTTCTTATTTATGCAATCGCAATCGCAGGTAGTGTACGGTAATGTGAAGATGAGCGGATGAGATATTTTTCATTTGAATGGAGGCACGTTTTTGGATCGCACTAAACGTGAATCCTGATGTGAGAGTCTAAGGCTCATCAATGAGTCAAAATGGACGAAATTAGAATTTATTACTGCACCTTTTGCACTTTGAATGTGATTGCATGCTTGGAATGCAGGATTGAACTTGAGTTTTTCAGAATATCATTCAGTTTGTCAAATGATAATAAAACATCTGTGAATGCCAGAAAATTAAGATGTAATTTATTATAGGCAGGTCTGATGTGAACGCTGTTTCAAGTCACTAATTCTGAAAATCTCGTTACTAAAAATTATTCAGTATTACTAAATTTTTCATGAAATCCCCAGAAGTTTGTTGTAATGAGAGTCTACTGTTGAGAGAAGCTAGAAACGTGTTTTCGTCCGAAAATTGTATTTCACGTCCATAGAAAGACAATATTCACAAATCCGCGAGAATTTGCTGCACATTGATTTCTTTACCGACCTCCGTTGTAGCTATAATCAACTAAAAAAAAAAACCACACAACATTAATACGATTTTTCGAGATGTACTATCGACAGGTGAATTGAACTGGACGACAGGAATTTATGGATTTTTCTTTCGTTTCTTCGGGAGAATGACGAATCTATCACAGATGAACAATTGAATTTATCTCGCGACTGCCCCTTCACGTTGAGCTGAGACAAAACGACGAGAAGAAAGCTTTTCACGCTCTCGGATTATTTGCTACTCTTTCGTGTTCAAGGAGAAGCCGGTTCTTGTTTCACCTCTGGGTTCACGGAAAAGTTTGGCTGCATTCGGAACCTGAGCTGATTTTGAAAGTTGACAGCCGCGGCTACTGCCATGAAATGCGTGAGAGTTTCTGCGTTGCTGCCACTGCTGCTGCTGCTCTGTGCCAAAATTTGCTGTTTCATGAACTCTGGCTGGATGAAGGACGTGTGATGGAAACGGGGTTGTTGCAAATACTGGAGTTGTTGGCTGAGAGTCTGCTGTGGAATGCGCTGATGGAAGGCTTCGGAATTCGCGTCACTGCCTCCGGGTGCTGTATTGGCCCTTATTGTGAACGTTTGAGGTGATGGATTGCCCATTCGTTCTTCTGCGGATTCAGCGTTTGTCCCGGAATCCTGAAAATTTGGAACGGAGCTTCATTTGAATACGACTGAGTCTTCGACGCAGACGACCTCAACAGACACGAAGAACTTCGCACAAGTTTACAATTTTGGTACTGTAGAATTTTTGATTACTCTGGTGTTCTAATTGTTCATTCTTTGAAAAATACCGAAATTGAAACTTCCAAGGGATCAAAACGGCGTGAATAATTTCGAACTTCGTAACTCTTTTTTTTGTAGAGGGACTTCGATTTTCTACGAGAATTCCCTGACATTTAAGGTCTTGTGAATAGCGTGTGAGTGGAAAGTTCACAGTGAGATGAAATCTCTTACTGACATGATGCATTTCCTTCTATGATTTTGTGTGAGAAATTAAAAATTTCTAGCGGATGATTTTCGGGCGTAAAATTGGAATCGCAGAATCAATTAGTAATGAACATTGGAAAGCTGAACGACGCAATGATCGAACAATAAAACATTCTTCAGAAAATCCGTCATACCGGGAAAAATGGAACGGCTCCGATTTATGTATCATTGTTCCCCTCCCAATGAATCAGAAAATGAGCAGACATTTTTCAATCCACAGTTATTCGATTATTAAAGTTCTGACATTGACCGAGGAATTTGTATTGTAGATTCACAAGGCACATTTTTAATTTATCGGAAGTCTCCGGCGTGGGTCGGACACGCGAATGCTTCACACATCAGTTGTTTACCAGGTGCCTTCATTTGACATATAACGTCATACCTGGTCGTCTGATCGAAAGTGGCGGCTCAAACTTCGCGAAGATGAAGTAGATGTCGTTCTTCGTTTCCGAGAGCCACTGCAAAATGACCTTGGCGTAGGGGAAGGCGCGCTAGCTCCTGATGCTGGTCTCGGTTCTTTCGATCGTCTTCTTGCATCAGTGGAATGGTTTTCGGTTTGATCCGTCCTGTGAAGAGGGAATTTGGAAACGTCACGTCCATTATAGCTACGATTGAACCAATGATGCAAGTACGCGAAGAACGTGGACCTCGTTAGATATCTCTCGGATTTTCATTGTCTGCAGCGTGTTGAACCACACTTCCGTTCTCATGGAAGCCCTTTCAAAATGGACAAAAGCCTCGATCGCCGGTACCTTTGATCTTCGCATTATCAACGAATTAAATTGACGCTGAATACGTTCCGGTTCCTCACTCTGACAATTTGCCCAAGGGGTGATAAAATTTCCCCGGAAAGAAATCACGGATGTATTATTTTCACGTAAAAATTCGAACAAAAAATGCAACTGCGCTAAGTTCAGCGCAGTAATGGAACCCCATGACCCATTAAAATGGAGCCAGGAAGGAAGTATCACACTGACCTAGGAGTACTATAGGATCACATTTGAGTGAAATCTATTCGACCAGTGTGTCAGTTCTATGCATACCCAGCAGAACATATCAAGTACAATATACAGTGTATATATATATATATAAACAGTATGTTTTTGAAAAATAACAGTATATTTTTAAGTGCCATGTCAACCAAGTTCAATATATATACAGTACAGTATTTATATATACAGTACAGTATATATATATTTTATATTGATTTTTGCAGGTACTCATACAGTAAAATCTTGTTACAACAAATACCGTTACAACAAATTTTTTGATACAACAAACTTTTTTTCAAGTCCCGGCAGAAAGCCTATAGACTACATGTTAAAAAAATCTCGTTACAACAAACTTGAGAATTCCGTTATAACAAACTTTTTTTGATGCAATTTTTTTGGTTTTTGTGGAAAAATTACTTGAAATTTGCTGGTGTTATTCACCATTGAAGCCTGAATCAAAAGAGGCCTCAATAGAGGCCCAAATGTTTCAAAATATCCATGGGATCCACCCAAGAGACAGTTTTTCCACCCTGCCATGAAACCCCTTCCCTGGAACACAGCAAACATTGCTTGTAGAATTGTTTGGACCCCTGGAGATTAATCCAAACATTCTGTTTCCCATGAACTTGCAGGAAGGACAGTCAAATACAAAAAACTTTAATACAGTAGAATAACTGCCCCAATAACAGCAATGACTTCCCTGGAATACATTTTTTAAAATTTACTGGATCAAACAATGAACCAAGAAGTCCACAGAATCCATCCAAACATCCAACCCAGGAGCAGTTCTTCAGCATCTTCTGAAGAATAAAAATAAAGATGCACACCTAAAAGATTAAAAATTGTTCATGTCCCATGCATTGTGAAAGAGGTTCCAGTACAACTTTGGACAGTGACTGTTCACAAATTTTGTGAACACAGGATTTTTTTCACTTTTTAATTCTGGATACTGTGGACAAATGCTAAGAATTGTATGAAAAGAATTGCTGGTAAAGTTAAAGAGAAAAAATTTGGTCACACAAATTAATTTCAATTTTAAATCGCTTGTGTTTCCCACTTCAGTGCATTTTTTTCATTGATTTTTTTTCTTTTCCTGTGTCTCTCTCTACACAGCAATGCATTTCAGTTCTATGCAGTGCAGGGTTACAAAAATCAGTCAAATTTCCCAAACAAGATGTTTGCCTTGCCTCTTTATTGTGCAACAAATGTGTCAATTTTCTT